TGTGGACTGTAAAGATACTTGAATTAAAAAATTACTATACTACTACTATTACTATTACTAAATATTTAAATATACTATTACTAAATATTTAAATAAAAAATTACTATACGGTATCAATATTTGTAGCATGTAATAAATGTTAAAGATGATCTCACCGAATATCGAAACTTACCGATGTAATAGATTACGTTTGTTTAAGTACTTTTACGATCTCTGCAATACTTGTATTAAATATCTCACAATTTCTATAAGTATATTTTTGAATTTGTTTCAAATTTGATTAATCATTATAATCATTATACTCGTCACAGTGTACTGATCATTACATTATAGTGTAGTTACGACGTTACAAGTCTCATTCACAGTGTTAACAAGATTTCCAAATATTTTTACTTAACGTACATAATGTATTCATAAGAAAAGTGTTCAACTATGTATACGTGCAATGCATTTTCCGATTGGTTTCAATTATGTAATCACAACAATCCAACAGATTTCACACAATTTGCATAAAACATTAGACAAAAGTATTCCGCGTGATTGGGATATTTTCGTGTGCCACTGTACGCAAGAGTAGAAGGCCTCGCGCGAGCCGAGCCCTTTTGAACCCGGTGAAATATTCAGCATTTCTCGATGCGCCGGCTAGTAAATAATTTCGTAGCCGAGCCAGGACCAACGGGGCCTTTTCTTTATTTCCTTTCTCTCCGAGGCGCCGTGCATATAAGATATGGATCACGCGGCCGACCACGCGGTTTTGCTCGCTTTTCTCGCCCGCTGTCCCACGAAATCCGCCGCGGTGCCTTCGCTCTTTCCGATCGTAAATAAACGGCAGTAGTCTTTCTATCCGCATTTTTTTAAACCACGATACTACACGCCACGAGATTTCTGTACGACCCGTTCCACCATTCCCTGCACCCTCGACGCCCCCTTTTTTTCTCGACTCTTCCCCTTCTGCAGGCTGACCGGTCGTTCCACGACGCTTTCTTCACGCGTCGTAAAAACGAGACAACGCACTTTACGATCGTGCTTCGTCGTTTTTTGTCTCGTGAATCTGCACGCGCGACGCATGCCAACGATAAGTATACAAATACCAACCGTAAACAAGAGGAAAGGTTTATTAAACATTCGCGCTTCTACGATCTCACTCCCTTTTTTCTTTCGCGCTTCCTCCTCGCTCATTCGTGTCATTCGTTACGACCACCCCTTTTGCAATCATCTCTGAATATGATCATAATCAAGCTGTAAATCAATTATCTAATTGTTATTGAAATAAAATCAGTAATCATAAATAACTTGTGATTCATAACTATTAATTAATTAAGGTAAATTTTTAAACATTCAACGATTAATTACAAATGTATAATTATGTTATTATTGTTATATAATTATAATATTTAATTTATATTGTATATTGTTTTATTAATATCATATAATATTGTGTAATATTGTATATTATTTTATTAATATCATATTATATTCCATTTATAAGTTGAAGGTTGCGTGCATTGTGTATACATTTTAAAAATTCTTAATATTGCTTTAATCTCTTAATAAAATTCTGAATTCCAAATTCAAAAAATATATAATTTCCTTTTCATTCTAAAATACCTCCGTGCATAAATACATGCATAAATAATTCACAGAATGTACAGTCTTGCGAATTCACAGTAATGATTGTAATACATGTACAAAGATAAATTACTTGTTACTATCTTACAATTTATTTATAATAAATGAAGGTATTGTAGAACGTAAGAAGAACATTACAAACAAAGTACTGAAAGAAGCATAATCATTTTTATGATTAATGATTTATTAAATTAATTACGATCTTTGATTACTTAATGTTTCCATTAATCAATGGTTACTTGACACGTTCATTGTTGATGCACACGTACAATCATTGCATGAATATTATTTCATTATTAATGGGTGAACTTCATTTAACAAATATCACGAAATGACACTGACGTAATTTTACGTTAAAATCAGCACGGTCACACTCGAGGTTCGAAATATATGACCAATGATTAATAACTTGACTTTACATTAATCATAATTCTTCAATTATTAATCAGATCACTGTGGTTACGCACGGGAAGAAACTCTCTGCAAGATTGAATGAATCAGAAGGGAAACGCGACAAAAAGGAACCTCGAAGGCCTTCCCATATAACCGAATCGTAAAAGAACACTATCTCGTACCTTGGCAATTACATCTTCTTAGATCATAGCGTTCCACAGGCAAAATCACGATCATTTAATGATCCCGGCGGCGATCTTGAATCTCGTCTCGTTAATTGCGGCCAGCAACGTACGTTACGCGTTTGTTACGTCGGGAATAGAATAACCTCTCTTTCATCGATGTGTGTGCTCCCATTAAAATGATTGCAACGCGTGCCAATCTAATTTCGTTAAAACGCTTCTGCTGCGCGTCTTTCCCCGGGTAATCTCGCAACCCTGACACTCCGTGATCGGTCATTCTTCCCTCTGGAACAGCACCCGGCAAGCTATTGGCAATCTTTTCCTCGAACGAGGAAATATTTGCGCAAACAAGACGACAACGCGCCCATAAACAAGGAAAGATCAACGTTCGCGAAATTTTTTTTCAGTCCGATGACTTTGAGATAAAAATGGGATAAATTAGATGGATTCGATAAAATCGAGGAGGTCGCGCGTAGGAAACTATGTTCCATAAATCCGAAGTGAAATCGGCGACAGGAATCCCGAAGCGTCGCCGAAAGAAATCTACCATGCCGGATAACCTGTACGTATCATATCGCGACCTGTTCAATCGACGAGTTTGTCAGAAGGTTTGTCGAGTTGTAGGATTCGTGAATAAATCAGACGCGCGAAAGAATTTCGAACTAATCGCTTGAAATTACTGTGATCGCGGGGAAGGACTGCGGAAATTGGAGGAAATTACTGAAATTAACTCGTCAGCTGTCAAGCCGCTTCTCGTATGATTCACGGTTTCATTAAAGTATGCAGATTTTTTTTTTTTTTTTTGAAATATTTAACGCGAGAGAACTTTTATTTGGAGATCATGAGCGATGATACGGAATTTGTCCTTGTCGCTTCCTGGTGTTAATAACTTGTAAGTTTCTCCTGATCGCTTCCTGGTGTTAACAGCAAATAGAAAAGTTAAAAAGTTTGATTCTTGCTGCGCAGACAAGTTCTATGATATATATATATATATATATA